GACTTTCTTAATAACTCCACCTTCAGGACATAAAGGATCTGCAGTAATTAAAATATATCCTTTAAAGTGTGCTGAAATCAGGAAGGGGGCTGTGTCTGATCACATCTGAGCTCTCCTTCTTTGAACTAGTAGATCTAGGCCACTCTGCAATGTTTGTTAGACACTCTAGAGCTGTCTGGTTGGTTAATGCTCAGCTTTGGCATGAGCCTGGATTTAATAAAAGTCAGTGTCCCTTCTTCCTTGCTGCATTTCCCCAGGCAAGAAGTCAGCAAGCCTGAGACTGAAAATATCCTTGGTTAGTTTCCTTGGTTACTCTGACCTTGAACCTACCCTTTGAAGGTCTGGAAGTTTTCTGAAAAGCATAGTTTTGTAGGGCTTTGAGGGCTACTGGAGTGTACAGCCTGAGGCAGTGGAAACCAGCTCCAATCTGACCCAAGCTCTTCTTAGAGTCAGAGGGAAACATCTCCAGCTAGGAAGGGACCTGTTTCCACTGATGGTCTCTTCCTGATAGAGAAAATCCCCAATTTACTGGTGCTAATGGGCAGTACAGTAGCAAGTACATAGCAAGAATCTATCTCCAGGCACTACTAGCTTCTTAAGCACGTGAGGCTCCAAAACACCTACTGTCCTTTTGGGGATTGTGGGAGAGCAGAAAACAGGCTGACTTCCAAGGAAAGTTTGAACAATAGAATCCATCTGGCAGAGTGCTGCTGTGCAACTAATCCAACTCTTTACTGCCCTGTGTTCAGAGAGAGCAGCAGCAGTAGCCCCTTCAGGTTGGTTTCTCAGAACTGAACAGCACAGACCGCAAGGGTTTCACTTTACTGGACGTGGGACATATACAGCTGCTTGTAAATCAGAGTAAAATCACCATAGATGTAAAGGTGTGACCATCACCTGAATGTTGGGCTATGATCTTATCCTTGGATTTCTGACTTGGAAATGGAATGAGGTGTTTACCCAGCAGCCAACATAAGCAAACTCTGCGATGTACCACTACCACAAAACCCAGAGGTTAAACATTTTGATAACTATGTAACGATGTAGTGGGAGAATCTGCTTTACTTGGATTTGAAGAGAAAAGGGGATTGTTTACCCTATATTATTTCTATCAATGCACAGTACAAAGTTTTTAGGGAACCCACTAAAATGTATCCCTTCCATTCTGGGGAGAACAGTGTGTATCACATAAGCCCTGTAGTCTTTTGAAGTTGCAGAAACTTGGAGTGTCCTACAAACCTTGAGGCCTTCTCCATCCTGTATCAATCTACTCTTTGTGACTGGCTTAGTTAGGGGTTTACTGCTGTGAATGGACACTATGACCAGGGCAATTCTTATAAGGACAATATTTGATTGGGGCTGGCTTACAGGTTCAGAGGTTTAGTCCATCACCATCAAGGTGGGAGTATGGCAGCATCCAGGCAATCATGGTGCAAGAAGAGCTCAGAGTTCTACATCTTTATCTGAAGATTGCTTGAAGACTGGATTCCAGGCTGCTAGGACAAGGGTCTTAAACCCCACACTCACAGCAACACACCTACTCCAACAATGTCACACCTACTCCAACAAGACCATACCTATTCCAACAAGGCCACATCTCCTAATGGTGTCACTCCCTGGGCCAAGTATATACAAACCATCAATCACAGTGACTGAGCCTCATACTTTCATGGTTAGCTGATGTACTTGTAAGTGGGTTGAGGCCTCATGGAGAGTGATACCTGGTTGGCTGGCTTTTGGGCCTTTGAATTCAGCTGGTTCTGATCTCTGGGTGACCCTACCTTCCCAGCACATCATATAACTTGATTCTGGGGCCAGACTGCATCCTCTGCAGGACTAGAACCATAGTTGGCCATGAGGCACCTGGTCCTGATAGACCTTTGTTGTCATTGCTACTGTTTTGTTTTTTTTTTTTAAACAGGTTCTTTCTATTTAACCTTGGCTGCTCTGGAACTTGCTGTGTAGATCAGGCTGGCCTTGAACTCACAGATCTGCCTGACTCTGCTTCCTGAGTGCTTGGATTAAAGGCATGCATCACCATGTCCAGCTCTTGAAGGTCTCTTATAGGAGGCTGGTGTAGTGCATCAGAGAGACATAGCTGCATATATGCACACAGTATGCAAATGTGTGTGTGCATGCACATGCACAGTATATACAGGTACATATGTGTTCATAAGCAAATGCACAAGGTTTCTCTGTGTAGCCCTGGCTGTCTTGGAACTCACTCTGTAGACCAGGATAGCCTCAAACTCAGAGACTGACCTGCCTCTGCCTCCCTAGTGCTGGGATTAAAGGCATGCGCCACCACCTTCTGGGTTGCCTCAATTTTTTTAGTAGAAAAAACAACAATAACCAAAAAAACTAGATAGTATTTTTTCAACATCAGCATTAAGTAATTAGGAAAAAATGGACTTCAAGGTAGTATCTAGTAATTAACATGTTAATGCATACCACACTTGTCCAAATCTTTAAAATTCAAAAAACTTGAGCCTATTCAGGTGTCTCCAGTCTCTGGGAAGATCAAACACTATTAGAAACCCAGCTCCTAGAGCTCAATCTGACATCTACAAAACCTATTCCAAACCTCATTTGAAAAGTTTCAGGAGCCGGGCAGTGGTGGCGCACGCCTTTAATCCCAGCACTTGGGAGGCAGAGGCAGGTAGATTTCTGAGTTCGAGGCCAGCCTGGTCTACAGAGTGAGTTCCAGGATAGCCAAGGCTATACAGAGAGACCCTGTCTCGGAAAAAAAAAAAAAAAAAAAGAAAGAAAAGAAAAGTTTCAGGAACTAGATAAACTTACCCTAATAATTATGAAATAAAAGATGTGAATAAAGCCAGTCATGGTGGCACACACCTTTATTCCAGCATCTAGGAGGCAGAGGCAAGCTAATCTCTGTGAGTTCCAGGCCAGCCTTGTCTGTATAGTGAGTTCCAGGACAATCAGAGCTACATAGAGGAACCCTGTCTCAAAAAAACAATCACCACCAACAACAAAAGTATAAGTAAGGGGTCTGGTGAGATGGCTCACTGGTTAAGTGCACTGACTGGTCTTCCGGAGGTCATGAATTCAAATCCCAGCAACCACATGGTGGCTCACAACCATCTGTAATGAGATCTGATGCCCTCTTATGGGGTGTCTGAAGACAGCTACAGTGTATTTACATACAATGAATAATTTTTTTAAAAAGTATAAGTAAATAAGTAATCTTTAAGAGAGAAAGAACAGAGAGAGTTAGCTCCTCCAGTTGCTAAGGGCCTATGAAAAAGCAGTTGCTATATTTGTACTTAGTACTGGAACAAATGATATATAGGCAGAGGCCTCCTACAATACATACTAACAGAACTCCACAGGCCAAGGGACGAGTTTACTGGGGTGGGTAAAATGAGTGTGTGATGGGGGAAGAAAATGGAATTCAGTTTCCCTCAGCAAGCTATCCACTTCTTGGATTTGAGATGGAGTGGAGAAATGTGCCAGGCCTTGACCTCTCATCCATAAGCCATATTAAAATGTGATTGGGAACTGACAAGATGAATCAGAGGGTAACAGTGCTTACCACCAACCCCCCCACACACACACACACGATCAACAAATAAATTGTAATAAAAATAATTTAAATATTATTGGAGTTGGACGAATGAGAGTTTTATAATAACATGGTGAGAAAACTAGCAAGAGGCTATGAGTGAAATTTTCATAAAAGGGTTCCCTGAACTTGGGGCCCTCATGAATAGAGGCCCAGAATCAGTAGTTAGAGGCACACAAATAAAAGGCAGAGAAGGGCTCAGATCACCCATCAACTGGCAGGCAAGGCTAAGCACTGGTGCTTGTGTGGGCTATGGGGATCATAAGCAGTGTAGACAGGGAAGTCTGAAAGAGACCCAATATAACAGTTTGAGTTCCCTTGCAGAACCTTGTGTTGGACACTGTCTCAGTCCATGAGTTGTTAATAACTCAGAGGTCATATGGATGTATCTTATGCCTAATGCTAAGAGAAACAGGGCTAGTGTCCATATCCAAAAAAAAAAAATCTTTGTTAAACACTCCATAGGGAATAACAAACCCCCTTCTAATGTAAAACTAACACTTTCTCTGAGGACTCCTTGTCCTCTGTAGCCTGGTGGGTCAACATTTGTCTCATGTGGACCCTACCCATGACCTATCTCCCCATCAAGTGCCCACAAGGTCCATGGCAGCCACACTCAGTCTCCTCCTTGTCCAGCTCCAAAGTCCTGAGGTCATCATCACTTTAGACTCCTACCAGGGCAGAGCAAGAAGGTCTTAGACTAATAGATGGCTCAGGGCCTAGGTGGGTGGGTGAGGCATGGCCTGGAGGCAGGGTACAAGCCTGAGTATTGAGTAAGAAGGGACCTACCCTCCTGGAGTAGACCTTTGAATGCCCACCACTGAGAACCACTCTACTGAGTGTAGAGGTTGTGAAAGACAGCTAAAGAGTACAAAGTGGTTCTTGACAGGGCAATTTCTGTAATACAAAGATCTCTAAAAATCACAGGACATTTCAGTGGGTTAGGGGCCAGAGGGGGTGAGTGTTCACAGAACAAGTAGTGCATGCAGAAATGTGTGGAGGAGGATGTTTCTATTTCTATCAGGAAACACAAACCTCTCCTGGAAAAGGGAGTTGTCCCCTACCCCCACAATGCTCTGTTTTTCTCCAGGGAGAGCTGTTGCCCTTGAATTGTAAGTGTTCAGGGTTCAGCATCCAGGGCTGCTGGATACCAGCAGGGTCTGTAAGCCCCCAGGACTGCTTTCTTCTGATGTTTTTTGTTGTTCGTGTTCCTGTATCTCCAAGTCAGGCTTTCCTCATTATTACAAAGTCTTCACTTTTCAATGAAAGCCCCTTGGCATTCCTGTGTCGATGAACATTATACACAAACCCTGTTTTTTCTCAGACCAGAAGTTAAAAATTATTCAACACAAAATTCCTGGGCTGTGGAGCAGCGGCAGTTGTACCAGGCAAAGGTTTTCACCACATTCCGTGTCCAGCCAGGCCGTGATAAGACAGCCCTGCTAGTCCACAAGGCACCTGAGGCCCCAGGGACCAGGTAGGACTGAGACTCGACTAGAGTCGGTGGGGAACTGGAATAATTAACTTGCAGTAACTTTGATTACCTCTGTGATTTTTGAATAGTCCCAAGGCCCTTCCCTGAAAGCTTTTCTTCCTGGCCCTGTATGTAGATGTCGGTGTCTTGGAAGGGTGTTTTCCGGGGTATGTCAGGCTAGACACTCAGACATGATCATGGGCTCAAGTCCATGTGAGAGGAGACTTTCTATTGAGGGCAGTGAAGAGTCTTCCAGAAAGACACAACCACTTTCAGTGTAAGTTTGGAGTTGGGATGAGGATCAGACTGTGATCTCGGATTATTTGGAAATAGCCTAGGTAGCTGTACAGGTAAGGGCTATGTCACTCTCACTCAAAGCCATGGCCTGAGAAAATTTTATAGAAAAAAACATGAGAAAAGTTAGAGGTCTTGAGCCACTGTGATGTTTTATGGATGTCTTAAGATTCCTGTGAGAAAAGGCAATTGTGAAGATCCTAACCTGGTCCACCTGCATCCAGTCTGTCTAGTACCTGGAGGGGAGTGCTTATGATCCATCCCATTAGCCAAGTCACATGTGTGCTTAACTTCCCCTTTACCTGTAGGATCTGGAGTAAGCTAGGGTGAGGCTGGGTATCCCAGGTTTGCTCTATTAAAGCTGAAATTCAGGCTTCTGGAGATCCAGAAGTCCAGGTATTACAAGCGTGGGCCTGTCCTTGGTCTCATATGCAAGGCTTCTGGGCACTGTTCCAGGTAGGAGGCCATTTAACATGGGTAGAGGAAATTGGACCTCATGAGGTCACACCATAATGGGAAAACTCAGCCAGTTTCAACTATCAAAACAAGGTGAAATGTAAAATGTGAAATGTCTATTGTCAAAAAGTGGGGAAGGTGATTTAGAGACACATTCTTAGGAATAGAAACAGCTATTTCAGCAGACTTTAGTAATAGGGTATGGCAACATTATTTTATCACTCTCAGGTCTCCCAGAGAGGACACCAATATAACTTATACTTTCATTTTTTATTAGCATTATTTGTGAATGTAGTTTGAGACAAATAGTCTATATGACTTAGAGAAGCATTTTCTCAGCCTACTCTCAGCCTGCCCCAACTCTAGTGGGATTCATTGTCACTTGCCCTGACAAGACTAAAAGCTGCTAACCCACTGACCTCATCTGGGCGGGAGCATGTTTATCTTTCTCTCATCTCCTCTCTTGGCACTGAATACTTGGGTTTTCTCTTTCTTTTTCTCTTTCTTTCCTGTAGTTACACTAGGAGTTCAGTTAAATTGTTTTGTGACAACAAGATCTGTATTTGAGAGGCCTATGGCTTCTGATACTTGTTCTAACTTGAACTCTTGTGCTTTTCCAAAGGGTTAATAATTGCCTTTCTCTTCTTGCTTGCTTAGTTTTCTCTGATCAAATTACTAATTCATCTGCACTGAGCCTTTCTGGGAAAGGCTCTCAGCCTGATCCTTCTGTGCGGGGGTGGGGTTGGCATCTTGAAATGGCCTCTGGTTTTCATCTAGAAGATCCCCTTTACCTCCTTCATCAGATTCTCTGGATCTGGAGTTCGTATTTCTTGGGTTGCTCTTTGCCAAAGTAAATGGTTCTCCTGTAGCCACTTAAAAGGAGGCTATAGTAAACGCACAGCTTTGACTGTGCTATTCCATGATACTATTATGGTGGTAGTTGAGCTGGGTCATTTTGTGGTGATACACATCTTCCAAGTGTTCTCCAGGGCCTCTGTAGACATAGGTAATGCTGTTTTAATCCCTGATTTTGGTATGAAACTTGATTTTTGTTTTTTCTCTGGAGTTTTGGGGGACTTTCTTTTGTCTGTATGGTTCTGACATTTCACGAATATGAAACTTCACCTGTGTTTACTCTCTCCTCCCTTCTGCTAGGTTGCCAGTGGCTCTTCCAATTTGCAATTCCCTATTCTTCAGTTTCAGGGGCTTGTGTTTTCTTTGTGGTTATTTGTTTTTATTTGTTTTTTTTCTTTTTCTTTTTATATTTATTTATTTTATGTAGTGAGTACACTGTTGTTTTCTTCACACACACCACAAGAGAGCATTGGATCCCATTACAGATGGTTGTGAGCCACCATGTGGTTGCTGGAAATTGAACTCAGGACCTCTGGAAGAGCAGCCAGTGCTCTTAACCACTGAGCCATTTCTCCAGTCCTTTGATTTTATTTTTTAAACATTCATTTTTGAGTGCATATGTGTGGACATGCATATGAAGATCGAGGGACACCACAGGAGTATGTTCTCTCCTTCTATCATGTGTGTCCTATTGTCAGTCTTGGTGCCAAATGGCTTTATCTGCTAAGCCATGTTTCCAGCTCCGCTTTTTTTGGGGGGTGGGGGGATGGGGAGAGTCTCATATAGCCCAGGCTGGTATTAAATTGGATATAAATCCAAGACTAGTTCTGAATTTGTGATCCTCCTGTCTATCTTCCAAATGCTAGAATGAGAGGCTCACATTGTCATACCTGGCCATGAGGAGTTTCAGATCCTGAGGAAGCAGAAGAGCAAACCTGTCTCAAAGTCAGGCAGTGTGTCCAGTTGTGAACCTTGGGTTCACAACAGAGTGGTCCTGTTGAGAGGAGCCCAGGGCACAACTTTTCACTTTTGATGCATCTGCTGGCCAGAAGGAGAAGGAGCAGAGTAGTTTTTACCTTACCTTTGCTTCAAGGAGGCCATCTGGTTTGTCAGACAAGAGTTGAGTGTTTGTAAACCTCAGTGTAGACCTTGGCTCCACAGATGCTCCTATAGTTGTTCTAGTTAGGTTCCCCAGGTTGGATGAGGTGGCTAGGCACCATGAGGGCACCCCTATATTACTTCCTATAATGTCTGGTAGACATTATAGGAAGTTGAGTGCCTCCAGGGCTGGTTGGGTATGTCTTAGCTGACTTGGAAGACTCAGTGCCATAATAAAACACCACAAACTGGGAACTTAAGCAATGGGGTTGTTTCCTTATAGTCCTGGGGGGGGGGCTACAAGCTGAGACCAAGTTATAGACAGGGCTGTATTCTAGACCTCTCTTCCTGGTATATTTCCTGGTGTTCACATGGTTTTCTTTTCTGTACCTGCTTTTCCCCTGATAACTTTGTGAATATTCCAACCTTTCTGAAGATCCTAGTCAGACTAGCCAAAAGATCTTTGAGACCTCATCCTCCAAGGCCCACCTCCAAACACACTCACATACAGAGGTCCTGGAACTGGACAGTTTACTATACTTGGTGTATTCTTTCCAGCAGGCAGTTCCTCATGGATGAATATCTCCTTGGCTGACTGGCCACTTTAATGTACTTGTCTAGCCTTATAGATATTTATCTCTTCTAGTGTCCTTAGCCTTCCTGGGAAGGCAAGCCACATCTAATCTTGTAAATTTTTTTACTTCCTCTCTCATATAATTAAGCTATGGTCTTGAACCCAGTTGAACAAGGTAGCCTGGCTGCTTCTGGGGGTGGGGTTAAACCTTCTTTCCAAGGATAGAAAGAGTTTTGGGATATACACACACACACACAAACACACACACACACACACACACACACACACACTCTTCAATCTATTAAAGTTAGCACCTGAGTTCCTATCTGGCCTGGATATGGCAGTTCCTAGGAGTTTGTCCCTGTGCATGGGGAAAAGTATATCCCTGAAGACAGAGTCTTGTCTTTGCTTTATCTGTAAGTCTGGCTGGCCTGTACTCACAATGTAGACCAGGTTGGTTTAGAACTCACAGAAATCTACCTGTCTGTGCAACAATAGGGTTAAAGGTGTGAGCTACTATGCCCCAAATTTTCTTTCTTGAAAAAGATGTTTGGGATTTCTGAGTTCCTAGGCCAGCCTGGTCTACAGAGTGAGTCCCAGGACAGCCAGGACTACACAGAGAAACCGTGTCTCGAAAAACCAAAAAAAAAAAAAAAAAAAAACAAAAAAAAGCAAGAAAAAGAAAGAAAGAAAGAAAGGAAGAAAGAAAGAAAGAAAGAAAGAAAAGAAAAGAAAAGAAAAGAAAAGAAAAGAAAAAGATGATTAACTTGTGTCCCTTACTGAGTGCTTGACACAAGTGTCAGGGAAATTTAAATTTTTTTCAAGAATCAATGTGCCGGGCAGTAGTGGCGCACACCTTTAATCCCAGCACTTGGGAGGCAGAGGCAGGTGGATTTCTGAGTTCGAGGCCAGCCTGGTCTACAGAGTGAGTTCCAGGACAGCCAGGGCTACACAGAGAAACCCTGTCTCAAAAAACCAAAAAAAAAAAAAAAAAGGATCAATGTAAAAGAATAACGTGTGAAAAGCCAGAGGCTCCTGCCCACCTGGTCTGCTGTACATGGGCTCTCAAATCATTTATCTCCTCAAGCCCCAGTCCCAGTGAGCACCTTAGAACAGACCTTGACACTGAGTTCCTTCAAACTACTCTTTGCTGTCCTTCGAAGACAATGAATTTGTTTTCCAGTCACCTTAAAGGGCATAATGATATAGTCCTTTAGCAGGTGCAGTGACTTCTGGGAATCCTGTGGGTGTAGGATCCTGGTGGAAATTAATTTCTCACAGTCAAAAGCCAGATACAGGAAGGACCCTCGGGTCCCCCATAGCTGCCTAGAATCAGACCACATAGAGCACCTGGAGGAAAGGAGGCATCCAAAGAGGTCTGCTTGAGAGACCTAAGTCTGTGTTCACAGCAGGTATCCAGACAGGACTTTGTCCTGACAGAGTCACCTCCAGGAAGGATCATTAGAGGTAGATGGTGAAGGAAGGCAAGGTAGAGAAGACATTGGGTGAGAAGGGGGTCTTCTAAGACTTGGGAAAGGATGGAGAGTGGAAGTCTACTTAACCACTTCATGGCTGGTGATGACTGTAGGTGGGACCTTTACTGAAGAACTCCTAGCTGATCAGTGTAGCAGAGGCCTGCTCTCTGAAGGAGTCCCTGGATCCCTGAGGCCTCAGGTCACACCCTCGTTATTCCTGTCTGCTCACTGCTATCTTGGACTCTTCATCT